GGAGTGTGTGTCTGTGACTGGGGTGTGGATTTTTGAAGGTTGCAGATGGTCTTTTGAAGTCCCCTAGATGAATTAAAGCTACCGATGTGTGTGTTTTTCAATCCAGTCCTGAAACCAAACTGAAAAAAACTGTGAGTTTCAGCGGGGTTGGTGTGTGTTGGTAATGATCGGACTGGTTTCATGTAGACTGCTATCATGCAGAGCTCATTACAGTCCACTTTGTGTCGTGAAATGAGCTGGGACGAAGGCAGGTGGTGCACTGTGCCTACACACACACACACACACACTCACACACACACACACTCACACACACACACAAAGAGAGAGATAAAAGAATTTTGGATCTAACAGAAGCTCATAGTTTTTTACCAAACCCTTCTCTTTTGCTTTGAACAAAATAAGCCAAGCTTGATATCCAGCTCTTCCAATTAGGTCTGCTTAATGATTTAAAAAAAATAAATCATTTAAAGAAGATACAAGTATTCCAAGTTGCAAAATAACTTTAAGAAATAAAATAGTCAATCACAGAATTTGGTGTGCTTTTTTAGACGAGATGATTTTAACTGAACAAGTACTAATGTGCTAAATCCTACCATAATATAGTCTCCCTTTCCATGGAAACTCAGCTGTGTCTCTGCACATCTTACTCTTTCTATTATTTCAGTTTAATTCTAACAATTTCATTTTGCAGACGCCTTTATCCAAAGTGACGTACACCTAAGAGTAGATACAATACAAGCAAGGATCTAGTCAGGAGATAAACATTTACTTTTTTTTTTACCTCTGAAGCCAAGTGCTAAAGTGTTTAGATGTCTATGTTCGTCATCCGTGTTAGGCTTTACTGTGTTTTTTTAGCACACCAAACCCAACTTCGATTGCACTTTATTAATTTGAGCTAAAACCATCACCACTTATAAATGCTAAATCTGGATGTCATATATAGATATTTATGTCAAGTATAGCCACATGAGAAGAATTTGTGGACTAGTGCGATAAAAGATTTTTTTTTAAATGACTGTTTCGCTAAGGACAGACAATCTTTCAAGAAATCCACAGTGTTGCTATCACTGTTACAATCACCCAGACCCTTGTACAAAATGTCAATGCTATTGTGAAAAAGATCAGTTGCGCCTACACTGTGTATCGTGTGTAACGCAATATCTATTAAGGTAGACTGTACACTGTAAAATATTAATTCTATTCTATTTTATTTGTCAAGTTTTGCTTGTTTGATGTACCAGCGTTTTACACAGCCAAGTGTAAAAATGTTTTCTTGACATTTTGAGTTTTTTTCCAATATAATGCATTTCCACTGGAAAGGAATGCACCTGCTTAAACTTGACTTATATTTAGTTAATACTTTAATGTAATTCGGTGGAAGTGTTTGAAACTACGCTGAGACTGGAGTCTCTGTTGTTGATGAAAAAAAGGGCGATAGCTGTAAAAGAACGGGTCTATCCAGGTCAAACGTGTTGTATATTGAGTAGACCTGAGCTCTGTGTTCATCTGCTGTCTGAGAGTGGGATCATCTTCATCAAGAAATATTGCATTTTGACACTTTTGTGTTCGGGAGCCGTGAGTCAAAATCGTTGTCCTCTGTGGAATAATCACACACAGTATTTTAAGTAGCTGCTGGCAGCATGCAGTGCGTCTTTCAACGTGCTGCATGTTAGAGGAGGAGGAGAAGCAGTCGGAAACTACAAACTGCCTTTAAAATTCAAATGAACTTCAAAAGGTGAAACAGTGGGCTGATTCCCCTGGGGATAAAATCTATTTTTGTACTTCCATCCTTCCTTGTTCCTTCTGTCTTCCTCCTCCGCCTCCTCCTCCTCTTCCTCTTCACCCTATCTCTCCCTCAGTTTATTTGGTCATCCCTGGTGTTGTGTGTCAGATAGTGATGTATAATTCACCCGTGACCTTCATCCTGGTTGCTATAGGACAGGATGGCAGGTCAGGTAGAGAACCACAGCAGATGAAGGTGGCTAAAGGTCTGTGTGTGTGTTTGTGTATGAATCTACAGGTCAGGCCTTTGAAGTAGTACCCTCCATTGCAGTGGGATTTTGAAGGAGAAGGTCAGGGCTAGGTCTCAACAAAAGAATTTTGCCAGTCGATACCAATAGCACTGAAATGCCACAATTGATGATCCAAATTTAATACAAAAATGCTTTAATCCAAAAAAAAATAAAAAAAATCTAGAGCACACCCAATAGACAAACAGTAATGACACTAGCCTAATGACATGATGGTGTGAGCAGCACTCAGCTCACATTGCAGGTTACTGCTGCTGTGTTTGGTAGCAGTAACGGTAAAAATTTAGGATTTGACCATGAACGTGTTGACGTGTTGTTAATATGAGTAAA